TCAAGAAATGCAGTTATTGAGGCAGTTGCTAAAGTAACCTTATCACGTTCCACGACTCAAGGGATTCAATCGAAAGCGGTTGAACGATGCAAGATAATGGCAGCAGTTAAAAGGACAGTTTCATGACAAAATGGCCACTACAAAGAAAGTGGGTAGTTATAGGGCGATCAAGCAGTTTTTTAGAGCAGTTAATCACAAAGGGATCGCCTATGAAGTATAAAAGGGAGAAAGAACTTAGAAGCAAAGGATCGAATCCAAAACTCTCGAACAGAGAATATGTAATTTTCATTCCTTTAGCTTTTAGACTTAAACACTTCCTTTTCTGTAACTCATGTGCTTACGCCCCTTGGAGGCACGTTGTTTTCCGTTTCCAATTGTAAAGTTCATCGCCAATAAAAAGAACACCCATTTTGGGGACTTTATCTCAAGAGGTTTCATCCCTTACACAATCGTCTGATCCTCTTTAATTGTTAACGAATTAACACGCGCGAAACAGGGACATTTTGTGCTAATACTCGTTGGGCATTACATGAAATTGATTATATGTGTTAATAAAAGACGGAGGTCTACTAAATATTTATCAACTTTTGAATTACAACAAATGGGAACTAAAGTTGACATGACCTTTAAAGAATGTTTTGTTGGATATTGCCTTCGTATGAGTATTTATTATACTAGATTTACATCACAACTTATAGATTAGAGTACTATAAATAATGTGACGAGATTTGATCGAGTCAAAATTTCACCAACCAAATATTTTGGCACTATCATTAACCGATATTACTTGAGCACAATCATTTAATAAAAGGTGAAAAGATTTGAACAGTTTTAATTTAATTTATTTGTAGAAATTTTTTATAAATGATACAAAAAGCATTTTCCCTTAGATTAGAATGTACGGTGGCATTATGGTATTTTTACTAATTCGAGGGATAATATGGGAAAGCGATTTCTGTATTTGTGCAGAGGTAGAAAGAGAATTTCGAGAGAGAGAGAGAGACAATAGCCTTATCCTATTCAAATCCTTTATAAAAGCAGATCAACATCTCCATTTCAATAGAAATCCATTCCCAAGATATAGTTCAAACAAGCAGTACGTATCCATATACAAAGACTCGAGAGTGAGAATTAGAGCAAACACCGATGGCGGCATCAAAAACCTACTTTGCTAGAGCAAACTACAGATTCCTCCCAACGGATCAGACGCTAACCAAAGGTTCGACGATGTTCGAGCTCGACGAGTCCGAGGTCTGGAACATGGAGGCCCGCTCGGCCTCACCGGAGTTCCAGAAAGCCAGTTCGAGAATCTCCAGAAAGTCGACATCGCTGGCATCGAGAGTCGACGGAGGACCAGCGTCTCTCCCGGTGAACGTGCCGGACTGGTCGAAGATACTGAAGGAAGAGTACAAGGAGAACCGGCGCGGAGACAGCGACGGCGATGATTTCGAAGACGAGTATGGAGAGAACGGGAATCGGATTCCGCCACACGAGTTTTTGGCGCGGCAAATGGCGAGGACTAGGATGATCTCCTTCTCGGTGCACGAAGGGATTGGTAGGACTCTCAAGGGAAGAGATCTCAGTACGGTTAGAAATGCAATTTGGGAGAAAACTGGGTTCCAAGATTGATTAATTTTTACCAGTTTTTGTACTTTTGGGTTTATTTTCCATTTTACGTTTTTTCTAGTCCAACCAAAAAAAAAAAAAGTTTAACTGAGAAATATTAAGATAAAGCGGATTGTTATTTGTTCTTCGCATAGGCGTATCCCTGCTTTTAATTCTTAAATTTGAAGTGCTGGTGTTGAGAAGAAGGTAAACTAGAATAAGTTCCTGTCCCTTGAGATATTTTAATTTAAAAATATTTTACGAGATTCATAATTTTTTGATTACATATTTCATGAATTTTTGTTAAATGTATTAAAATTTTGATTTTATTTCCCAAGGGCTAAAATTTGGATGTTCAAATGTTTAACGAGGAAATGGGTGGTTTTGGAGTTTAATAAAGTTGGAAAGGAGCATATTGTAGAAATAGGCATACAAGTTACAATGGGTGGTATGGACTTTGGGTAGAAAACGAGGGGCTACCAATTTAGTCAGTGATTATGATTCCCAGAAAAGGCATATTAACTGAAATGACAAAACTAACCCTATATTTTCAAGTTCCACGAAGGTTCCTTGCAACCTTTTCCATTTTTGTTGTTTTCTTTTCTTTTTCACCAACTTGTTAGCAACTAACATGTTTGGTACCCGTTAATGTCAAAATGAAAATGAAAAATATAGTTATTATGAGCCCTATATAAGAGATAGTAAATTAATATGATGACTTGATATAATGAATAACGATCATATTTTTCATTTTAATGGATAAATAATGGAAAACAAATAAGGGCTAAGATTTATGACAAGTGTATTTAAAACCTTACCTTTAGTAAGTTCCTGTTTTATGGTTATTATTGCATTAAAATGATGTTTTAAATAATGATTTTTTTATGAATACGTGGTTAAAAGGTAGTAAAAGAATTTTGAATTTACATATAAAGTATTTTATTTTGTAAATGTGTAACTAAAAATGAAAATGAAAAATGAATTGTTTTGTTTTAAAGGGGAGAGTCAAAAGAGGCTAATTTTAAAATAATATTTCTATAAACTTTAAAATGTCTCCTTTTAGGCTTTAGGTCAATAGATGACAGTAGGCATTCAATAGGGGTACTTTTGAGATTAGACAAGTCAAAATGTCATTTTTTCAGTTTGACCAAAAAAATTTGTCAATCTACAAAATGGCCATTTGTTGAGTAAAAAATAAAAATATCCTTAATTAGCTTATACAATTACAAAGATAGAATTTTGTTTAAAAAGACAAAAATACTCTTAAGTTACAAATTAAAAAATCAAACATTTTACACTTTATATTTAATTATTCATTTCAAACACTTACTCAAATAAAAAATAATATTTAATTTACTTTCTTGTTTAAATATTTCATTAATTAATTATCTTAATCGATTATGTATATTATTTATTCAATATTTAATTAATCACTTGTTTAAATAAAAAAATTAATGTTTAATTTGATTTCTCATTTAAATATTTCATCAACTAATTATCTTAATTGATATATGTATATTTAATTAAATATTTAATTATATATTTTAAACACTTACTCAAATAAAAAAATTATATTTAATTTGATTTCTCTTTTAAATATTTCATTAATTAATTATCTTAATTGGTCCTTATTTAATTATTTATTTTAAACACTTACTCAAATAAAAAAATTAATATTTAATTTGGTTTCTCATTTAAATATTTCTTTATTAATTACCTTAATTGGTTATGTATATTGTTCATTTAATATTTAATTATTTATTTAATCACTTATATAAAAAATTAATATTTGTTTTAATTTCTTGTTTAAATGTTTTTTAATTAATTGTCTTAATTAGCTATGTATATTATTTATTTATTGTTTAATTATTTATTTAATCACTTAATTAAATAAAAAATTAATATTTAATTTAATTTCTTATTTAGATATTTCATTAATTAATTATCTTAATTGGTTATGTATATTTAAAATTTAATTACTTTATTTAATTATTTATTTAATCACTTATTTAAGTAAAAGAATTAATATTTATTTTAATTCTTATTTAAATTTTTCATTAATTAATTATGTATATTCTTTATTTAATATTTAATTACTTTGTTTAGTTATTTATTTAATCACTTAATTAAATAAAAAATAATATTTAATTTAATTTCTTATTTTGATATTTTAGTAATTAATTATCTTAATTGGTTATGCCTATTATTAGTAATTAATATTTAATTACTTTATTTTAGTTACTTATTTAAATAAAAACATTATACTATAATGTACAAGTGACATAACATTATTGGAAATTTGAAAAACAATTTTTTCGATTCTCCACTCATGGAATTCTACATGTACATTATGGACATCCTTATGAATTAGTACATGTAGAATTATCTAATATTTAATTTGATTTCTGGTTTAAATATTTTTTATTAATTACCTTAATTGGTTATGTATATTTAATTATATATTTTAAACACTTACTCAAATAAAAAATTAATATTTAATTTAATTTCTTCTTTAAATATTTCATTAATTAATTATCTTAATTTGTTATGTATATTGTTTATTTAATATTTCATTACTTTATTTAATCAATTATTCAAATAGAAAATTAATATGTAATTTAATTTATTCTTTAAATATCTCATTAATTAATTATCTTGATTGGTTATGTATATTATTTAATTAATATTTAATTAGAACATAAATCACACGATGTATGAGAATATCTAACAGAGATTTGAGTCGAACTTTAGGCATTGTCACATTTTCAATACATCGAACATTATTCAAGAAAGCCGACACTATATTTCCTTTACCAAATAATGTCGAGTGAGAAGTTCCTGATTATAGTATATTACTCTCTGCCCAACGGATGTGAAATTTCTATTTAAATCATATGTACTTTCTATTTATGGCGTGTTACTGATTTTCTCAATTTTCTTTATTTATAGTGTGTTATATATTTAATTAAGAGTAATTAGTTATTTATTATACAATTACATAAAAACTAAAGTATTACAAACGTTTTAAAAAAAATGCTTACATTTGAAATTATTACAATTATGGATCACAATTTACATAAAAGAATGCTTGCATTTTAATGTGTGTTTAGTTTATCAGCTCTGCGTCACGTTCGATGCTAAAATTTCAATGTACTTTAATTAGAGTTGTCAATGGATTGGATTTTGATCCAAATCCGATGAAATTAATGGGAGATGGATTTAGGGTCTCAATCTGATAATCCAATCGAGATTCGAATTCGATAATTTGTTAACTAAATGAATCAATAGATTTGATTTTGATCTGAATCCAAATCCGATCTGATAAATAAATAAAATCTTTATTTTCTAATTTTTTCAATTTCGGATCGAATATCCGATAACACAGTTAATCGGATATGGATTTAACATTCAAATATCCATCGGATTATTGGATCGAATCAGATAGGATAATTATTATTAATAAATCGGATCGGATTTGAGCAGAGCCGATCCATAAATTCGATCCATTTAAACCCTAACTTCAATGCAAAGATTTCACAATCGCCCAGGTCGATTTCACTGAAGAGGTTGGGCAACGTACTGTCAACAGAGCCTCGATCGTGTACAGAAAAACAATGTGTTGTGACAACAATCTAGTCTTCTTACTAACCATTTGCTCTAGCACGTCAATAATATGTTTCGTACAGGGTGTCATCCAAACTCGCGACATTATCTGTGAAGTTGGGGGTCCTCTCCGACATAGTTATGTATATTATTTATTTAATATTTAATTACGTTTTTAATTATTTATTTAATCACTTACTTAAATAAAAAATTAATATTTAATTTAATTTCTTATTTAGATATTTCATTTATAAATTATTTTAATTGGTTGTGTGTAGTATGTATTTAATATTTCATTATCTTATTTAAATAAATTTTACAATATATACAATTATTTCATAAATAAAAATATATATACAATTATTACAATTATTTCGTCCCCACCACCGGCACCTCTCCCATCTCCACTGAGATCCATAACGATTCTAATGAAATATCTGTGTACGTCCCCACTCCTCCACCGTCACCTTCCTTGTCTCCATCTTCGCTACTCTCTGTCACTGTCCGAGACCCCTATCTCCTGTATATTGTATCTCCTCGGATATGACTCTGACCCTCCTCCTCAATCAACGGTGTCAGCTCAACGAGCAATTCAAGCTAACATATTAACATTTCATCGAGTTAATGACCATGCATTAAGATTTCGAAATGACGTACAAGATAAATTACAAATGAATAATATGTATCTCGGGATCGTCGAGGAGAACTGATAATGTCAGCTTTGTCCCCATGGATAGTTGTTGAATGTGTCAATGTCATCAACAACCTCCAAATGAATTTATTTATTATCTATATTTTTCATTTATCATTTAAATAATCATTTAATTATTATTTAAATGTTCATTATTTATTTTTGTGCATTTCAATTAATTATTTATTCCAATTGTTTTTCATTTATTTGTTTCAATTGTTCATTTAATTTTTTTGATTTAATTATTTATATTGGTTGATTATTTAAATTATTTATTGAACAAGTAAACGTAAATTTTTAATTATTTATTTTAAATATTAGAAATTTATTTTAATTAAATTTTAGTTACATATTTTGATTATTAATATTTATTCATTATTTACATTTTTTGTCATTTAAATAATCATTTATTTATTATTTAAATGTTCATTATTTATTTTTATGTATTTAAATTATTTATGGAATACAACGAAAAAAAATTTGAGGGACGCTGTCTGGCCCAGCCTGGGCCGTCTGGAAAGCAGATGGCTCAACAGTCTGGCTTTCTTCTCCTCCCTTTCTTCTTCGATCCAGGTGTCGGAGATCGCCATTTCGACCAAAAAACACCTCAAAAAATGTCATTTTCAGTAATTTTACATAATTTACAAAGGTTTCTATCATTATTTTCAACAAGATTTCTTCTCGTTCTTTTTCAGACGTCGGTTTGAAAGTGATTTGTTAGGGATAATATTGGGTTTTCATTGTTTTTAAGGTTTTTACATATTTTCAATCTTTTTTAAACAGTAGTCAGGCCATTTTGGAATTTTTTATTTTTTATTTATTATTATTTTTTTTTGTGGCTATCTGCCACCATTTCGTCCATTCAATTCAAGAAAGGATCTCGATAAGTAAGGTAAATTTGATGTCTCACTTTTTACTAATAATGGTTTGGTAAAAATTTTATTTTCTATTTTATATCTCTTGTAAAAGAATTTTACGAAAAAGTTAATTTAACTAATGCTTGAAAATAAATTTTTAAAAGATGCTCCTCTTTCAAAATAATTTTTAGAGAAATACAAGGAAGTTTCTCAAGAAATATTTTCAAATAATTAATTAAATTAGATTGAAAGTAGCTTTTGAATCTCAATGATTATTTTTGACCTCTTAAAAGTCATACAAAATGAAATTTAAATGTTGCATTAACAAGCCTTGATGGAGTGAAAAATTGGCCTTTCTTCCGACACCAAAAAATTTCGTAAACATATCTATGTTCTAATCCTATATGGTAGTCAGACAAACAAAAATGATGAGCATAAGAAGTCGTCGAACGCCAAAGCTTTCATTAGTTCTGGGCGCAATTTGATTTGGACCTGTTTCAACTCCAATCCAAAATCAAAATAAATTGATCGATTTGGGTGAATTTCAATCTAAACCAACTTACTCTTACTCTTAAATCAAGTCACCAAATCAAATCGATTTAGTTTGGTTTAATTCGGTTAGTTGATCTGGACTTTGTCTAGATTGGATTTTTTTTTTTTTTAAATCGTTTGAATTTTAGACCAACTTATATTACAAGAACTAAAATAATTAAATAACTTTACATCATGGAAGTATTGACTAACAAATAAAATCCGATTAATAGGCATAGATCAATAGAAAAAACTTAAAAAATTTGTTACTTTTTATGCAATGTGTAGCCCAACTGTTTGAGTAGAAAAAAATGTTACATATAAACAACGAGTTTATGAAATAAAACTACCATTGTTATTACTTACTGACAATATCATAAATTGAAGGGAATCGAGGTATAATTATGAAATTATGACTTATCTTTTTATTTTTATTTTTCTTAAAAAAAGGGTAAACATATAATGATTTGATTAACCAGCAGTTTGAAGTTTCAAACTATAACTGAACTGATCCACCATGATTTTGTTGAAAAAAATAAAACTCGAGTCGGTTCAGTTTGATTGGTTTTCAATTTTTTTGCCCAGGACTAACTTTCGTGAGCAGCTTTGTTTCTAATAACTTCACATTATGAATTATTTTCTTTTTCATCCTCCTATTTAAAAATTCGTAGTCCTATTCCTAATAACTTTGCATTAGTAAACTTCAATGAAAATGTGACTAGATCTAATTTTATATTCAAACACACATTTTAATAAATTCAAAAGCGATATTTATCCACTGCTATTACATTTTTTTTTATTATTTATTAGAGATTTCGTAATCCCGGTCCTAATAACTTTGCATTAGCAAACTAAAATGATAATGGAATCATACTACATATATATGAGAAACTGTACAGGGTTAATATAGAGGGATACGTGTCCTCTCGTAGTTGACTAAGTGCAAATTTTCCTGTGCAGCATGAAGATGTAACTAGATAATATCATTTTCAAACACATATTTTAATATTTATTTATTCACAGCTATTACTTTTTTATTATAAATTCTTACAAAGGATTCTTTGTCCGGTAAAATAAAAAAAAAGGTAATCAAAATGAAACTTGCATGAAATTGTCAAAGGGCCCAACATATCCAAGTGGATAATCCGGCCCGTTTCTGCATCGTACCGTTGCAGGCGTGCACCACCACCTACCGGTCAGGGTCAAATTTCAGTCATTTAGACATACACGGTCGTCTTCTAGTTTGTGTATTTTCTGTCTGGTTGGTGCGGACCACTCTATCGATTTTCTCCTAGCTAATTCAAACAATGGCCTCAGATTCAAATTCTTCTTCCTTTGACAGCGAAGTTCACAGCCCTAATTCGAACCAGGACCTAAATCCGGATTCAATTGATCAGTCACTCGACGCCATAGAAAATCGTTTGGTCTCAATTTCAATGTCGTCTCACCCCGAAATGGAGCCATTTGATCAGGAAGAAGAGCAGCCAGAGCCCATGGAACAGCTCACGACCACGATTGGACTGATGAATGGAGAAATTGGAGAAGAAGTGGTAGTAGATGAGATTAAAGAAGAGGAGCAGGCTAAGAGTAGTTTGAAGGCGGTAGCTTCAAAGGTAATTGAAGCAAGTTCAGTGTGGAGGAATAATTCGGTGGAAGAAGCAACGAGTCCCAGTAGTAGTGGATACGCGGGTGAGGGAGGGAGTAGTGGCGATGCAGCCAGTGTGGGTGATGAAATTAAGGGTGATGAAATTAAGGATGATGATGCCGAGGTCCGGAGTTATGGAGTTTTACGGTCTCGAGGACAGTGGACTCGCGGAAAACGCAACCTAGATGAGGTTAGCTGAAAAAAACATTCAAAACTAATACTTTTTCCCATTCCCCTTTTCATTTTCTCGAATGCATAATTTGATGAATGAGTTTTAGTACATGGAAAATGGTATGCCTTGGTGGACGTGTGGTCATCGAGTGCAGTAAAAGAATCGTAGTTCTTACAATTCTTTGAGTCCAATCAAAATAAGTATATTACACATTAGAGAGAACTATTTCGATCTCTTTGTTGTTTAATGCGGCCTATATGAGATTGTCTGAATCATTGTTCTCAACCTCTGCGTGCATAGCCATCGACAAACTTGTAGCTGCTATTGTAACAGGGCTTGATGACTAAAAGATCACACATGAAATTATATATTTCTTGGTAAAATTGATTTTCAATGGCTGATTAATAATGTCTTCCCTGATGTCTAATATATGAGCTAGTTGGTTGTACATTGGTGGCAATCTTTTTATTATCTTTATTGTCAGCAGAGTGGCTTGTTATATTAGATTCATTGTAGTGTTTGCATCGATTTGCTTAATCCCTTCCAAGGTGAAATCTTATTTTCTTCTTTCCTTCAGCCCTCTCCTGTCCTTTCTCTTGATTCTGATTTTAAGCTAATATTTCAGATCTGTCTTTTCTTTGATTAATAAATAATATAACAACTCTTATACAATCTGACCACCCTTCAATGGGAACTTCCAGCTTGCAGCAGTAGGAAACGACCCCATTCACAAACTATTGTTCCCATTACCATTCCCACTCCGGTACAGAATTGAGTTTTGGCCCAAAAACCCTTTATCATCAACTGCTGCCAAAATATCTATCTTTTACTATACATTCTCGCAACTAAACTAAAGTCGAACTGAATTAAACTCTCCTACATCAAATTATAGGGTGCAATCTTGTTTCAGAATTTGGATTAATTGAAATGATGTTCTTGCCACTAAACCTAAAGTCGAACTGAATTAATCTCTCCTACGTCAAATTATAGGGCACGAGCTTGTTTTGGAATTTGGATTATTCGAAATGATGTCTATTCGCTCTCTTCAAAATTCAAAGACCGCACAAGACATATTTATTTTTGAATTTCTAGGTCATCCACAATTGATTATGTATAGCTCAAAACCTGTCTATCTTATGCTAAATTTCTGCAGCACTTTCCATACTATACTTCTTTTAACACTTCAATCTCCAACCTATGTTTCTTGGAATTACTCTCCTCAAGCTTTCATAAATCAGTGCCTGTAGTACCCAATGAAGGTTTCCCATAGCAGTACTATACACCATTCTCTAATTCTTCAAAAACGAAAAGCAGAACCCTGAATGAAACAAGTAATTTTATCAACTAACTTCTGTTGCTAATTTGAGAAAAGAAGTTTTTTTGTCAACGTGTCATTGTCCAAACTAATCATTTGGAGCTCTTCACGGAAATTAACAGGTTGATTATAGTGTGGATTTTAGACCATGTGCCATTTCTTACTTTTATGGTGAACATTCCTCTTGGCCTCTCGGAGCTAAGTCCGTTCAGAAAATGAATGGAAGTTTAGCAGGGAAATTTGGGTTTGGAGTTGATGGTTGGATTTTGATGGGTAGAGATACCTATGGGGTTTGGAGAAGACCTATTATTGGCAGTAAGAGTTTTATTCTATTTAAAATTGCAGGATATAGCAACCTCCCTACTACAAGATGAGAAAACTGATCCATAAAATTTGGGGTTTTGGGGAAATGACCAACTGCGGTTGGGTTTTGAGAAGTTGGTTTGATAACTTTGAGAAAGAGATGAAATGGGACAAGAGGATGGTTCAGGGTTTTAGAGTAAGAGGGTTTTTGGTTCTGCATTTTGGTTGCTTAGTTATGGTTAAGGTCAATTTTGTCTTTTAATATGAAGTTAACATTCATACAGTCATTGGAGACTGAGCACCAATTTATAGAAATTTGACACGAGTAACGTTACGAAACAAAGGTTGGATAAAATTGCAAAAATGTGTAAAAGTTGAGGAGGATGGCCATTATTTAGCCTTTATTTTAACTACTCTAATTGCCTATTTATTTTTGAACCAATTCAGAGATTATTTGTTGCACTCCTTTATAGGGTCAGTTCTTGTTTTGGGGGTATCATGAACAATATTTCCGTTTTCTGCTTGAGCAAAATCCATTATTGATAAATGCTAGATTTTCTAAGCTTTATTGACAACAGTTAAGATCACAAGAATTAACTAATGTTAGGTATATGTATATGCTGGTCCATGATACCTGCTCTGTCCTAAATTGATTGACTATTTAATAAAATGCAGGATGATGCTTCAATTTCATGGAGAAAAAGGAAGAAACACTTCTTTATATTGAGTCACTCTGGGAAACCCATATATTCTAGGTATGCATTACTGGTTTCTTGAAATTTTTGCATTTCAGCAAAATCAATTTCCATTTTTTCCTGTATTGAAAGGTGATGATTCACTGTATCTGTTCAATTCCAGCATTTGATTATGACTTTCATTTATTGATCGTAATTTTTGTTTGGTTTTGCAATTGAGTTAAAGATATGGGGATGAACACAAGCTAGCTGGGTTCTCTGCAACTTTGCAAGCCATCATTTCCTTTGTGGAAAATGGGTACATTGCTCTTACAGCTCTTTTCTTATCATCTCATATTACCCTTTTTCTATCAGCTTGTATAGTGGTTTTCCTCGTTGCTTCCTTTTCAGGGGCGATCGGGTTAAATTTGTAAGAGCAGGAAAGCACCAGGTTAGTTTATCTTCTGATCTTTGTAGTTTCTTATTTGTGTTGAGTGGCATCATACCTCTTCTTTTAACATTAAATAGTTCACTACTTTGAAAAAAAACTTTTGTAGAGCTGGTAAATGTTAAACTATTTTAAATAGGAAGCTTCTATAAAGTTCAGTACCATACTTATAAAGGACTTTTGGCTTGTATTTCGGTGCGACATCATATTTTTTCAGATATGTGAGGTTTGAATTTCAGGTAGTGTTTCTTGTCAAGGGACCAATTTACTTAGTTTGCATTAGCTGCACAGAAGAGCCTTATGAGTCACTAAGGGGACAATTGGAGCTCCTTTATGGTCAGGTAGCTTACTACCTTTTTTATTTTTTTAATATAGATTTTCTAGGTGGGTAATGCATCCATGTAATATCACAGGCTCTTAGCCTTTTTTTTCATGCCTATTTAATTTGATGAGATTCACTTCTGATGGATGTGTTAACTTATTTATTTAGCTTTGATTTAAATGCAGATGATACTTATCCTCACAAAGTCTATAAATAGATATTTTGAGAAGAGTCCCAGATTTGATATGACACATTTACTTGGAGGAACAAACGTTGTCTTCTCCTCTCTCATCCATTCTTTCAGTTGGTACATCTTTATTCTCTTTAGACTGTTAATCTAGAGTCAATAAAAGCGATATTAACAAAACCTTGTCAGCTGTTCCAATTACTCCAAATAGCTTCTCTCTCTCTCTCTCTCTCCCCCCTGCATGCATTTTGGGCAAATCGTATTAGGTTTTAGAGCTAGCAAACTGTGGGCTACAAGAAAAACTTTTTTTGATGGACGCTAATAATCAATTCTAGAAAGTGAGTACTTCTTAGTCTCTGGACTATGACTGTAGGAGGAACCTCACTGCGTTAACTAGTAAAATTCTTACTTCTTCGTTTCTACATATTTTCCTTTTCCTTGATCATATGTAATGGTACAATATGTCCATCTAGCTAGTTTACTAATCATATTACTACTTTTGCTGAAATTCCCAATCTGATCAAGAGATTCTAATATCTGAAACCATATGTCCAACGGTGTTCTCCCTCCATGCTTTTTTCATTAACTGGCTTTAATTTTGAAGAATTCGACTATTATTAAACATTTTGCATGGAAGGTTGTGCAGCCAATGTGCTCCTTATCAATTGCGATAGTTTTCTTCCTCCTTGTTATGTCTATCATCACTTGTCTTGTCACTTCTATAAACCAGAAGGAAGAATAGAGCTACCAACATTATTCAGATTTTTATAAATTATTATGTAGTGGACTATCTAATTTCTGCTTAAAATTTGTATTACTTACCAATTGAGTTTAAGTTAGCTTTTTAGCTTAATAACTGGAACCATCTTGCTGATTTTGATGTCAATTGTTTGATTGTGAGTTCATATGGTTGCCTTTTGAGACCAAATGTGATGTTCCTTATCTGTCAGTTATGTATTTATGTTTATGTAGTTCTTTTAACTCTCTGTAATTTACAACTAAGATTTAGTTACATCTCTTTTGTAGGAATCCAGCCACTTTTCTCCACGCATATACCTGTCTTCCCCTTGCTCATGCAACAAGGCAAGCAGCAGGTTTGATCTTGCAAGATATAGCTGATTCAGGGGTCTTATTTGCAATATTAATGTGTAGACATAAGGTCATCCTTCTAATCCTGAAGTTCTTGTTTTACTTTATTTTGTCAGTCACAAGAACTCCTTTACAAGTGTAATTAACCAAGTTGTTAGTGGTTTCCAGTCAAAACGTCATCAGTTGAAATTCAAATGCAGGTAATCAGTCTTTTTAGTGCACAAAAGGCATCTGTTCATCCTGACGATGTGCTATTACTCTCCAATTTTGTTATGTCCACTGAATCTTTTAGGCAAGTTCAGCTAACTTTTGCATTCTCTTTCATATTTCCTCCTTCAACCTCTCTGAAATTGTGGAAATCAAGATTTGGTTGAGATCATTATATCATAATCAAATGTACAAGTACATAAATGCACTCAAACAAACATATATATATGGTCACAAGACATGTTTCTATGGTGTTTGCCTGCCACCTTGGGTGTTTTGCTGGATGACTTTAAATACTCAGTTATGATTTTTTCCTCAGATATGGAACTAGCGATTCAAAAATGATCTGCAAAGAAAATGTTATTTGTAATCTGTTGTTTAATAATGTCTTGGCAGCTTTATTACTGTTATTCCATACTTTTACCAAACTTTACTATGAATTAACTTTGAATTAAATTGCTAGTTGAACTTAAATAGATATGAGGCTCTTAAATGCATGTTATCGTAAAAGAGACTCTTGCTATTGTTACTAGATAATGTGTGCAATCTTACTTTTTGAAGTCGAGAATTGAATATTGACCAACTGAATTAAGGAATTGAATATTGAATGCACAACTAGAAAATAGACAGAGAGAGAATTTGGAGGGAAACTTCAAAGTCAATTCAATTTAATATTCAGAAGTCTCTATAATTCGAAAACCTACTCCAGTTTATTCTTAAGATCCCTAATAAAAGATGGAGCATTACCTAACTATGAAATGCAATTACCCGAATTTAACCTAGTGAGTATTGAAAAGAAATAAAGAAAATCAATCAAAATAATTTTCAGAAATATTTCTTATTCTTTTGCCTGAAGTGATGTCTAGTTCATGAGAAGTCTTCAGTTATATCCATAAGACTCTCCATCAAGTATTTTTTGTTTCTATGCCCGACACTATTTTTTCCTTCTAATAAACATGATGCACGGAGCTTCAGGTTGTCAATCACATTAGCATATATTAATAGTTATAAATATATGCTAATAAATTCTGTGGAAGTTCATGGTGAATATCACATAATAATTAGCCCTTTTGAACTGAAGCTGATTTTTCCGAGTGAGATTATTATTACTGTTTGTTGGAGGCTTTTATCTTTCTTTCTTTTTGTTTCAAGCAGGACATCTGAGTCTTTCTCACCAATTTGCTTACCAAGATATAATCCCATGGCGTTTCTGTATGCTTATGTGCATTATTTTGATGTAAGTAAACAAAAATACAAAAACAGCTTCAGTTATTTAGCACGTTTGAATGACTATTCTCTCCTGGTTTTGAGATTATACGGAACCTGAATTTTGAGTACTCTAAATACTTTAGATGTTGATACTGTGATGGGTGGAAATGTATGAAAATAAACTAAGAGAGATTGAAAAACCTCTACACACAAGTAAACAAATACGTCCAAGAAATACAGTTATCACATACAGGGCTAGGGAACTCAACACTTAATGATATCCCTTGTAGAGATGCAGTTTGCATGAATTTTACTAATTCATTAGATTCGTCATCATTAGTCAAAGTTTCTTGGTAGATAATTGTTGTGGAATACCAGTTTACAAATAATTCCTTTTCCCAAGATTCATCTTCCCATGGCTAGATTAAGACACTAATGTGAGAAGTTTGACATCAGTTACTTGAAAGCTAGTAAATAAGGGAGTCGTGCCTACTTATCAACAAATGATATAAAAATTTTGGATGACAGGTTGATACGTACCTGTTGTTGCTTACTACAAGTTCAGATGCCTTTTTTCATCTGAAGGACTGCAGGTAAAAATGTTCATGTGATCTGCTAATGTTTCAGAAATTCATGATTCAATGGCTCTCCAATTTGTTTTGCAATAATTTTTGCATGTGTTTGGAGTTAAAATTTCTTATCCACGGGGCCCACCGGATGGCTTGTTGGATTTATTACTATAGTCATTCCACTCTTTGATAAACGCAAAACTCTGGTATATCTTGTAGGATTCGTATTGAATCGGTACTTTTAAAGTCAAATGTACTAAGTGAAGTTCAAAGATCCATGCTAGATGGTGGCCTGCATGTTGAGGATTTGTCTATGGAACCTGCTTCTATTATGGGAACCATGTCTTCGCATATAGGTCAATCAGGGCCCACAACTGATTCTCTGGGAAGGATGAGGGAAGCATTAGTTGGGACTGGTGGTCCTGCTGGGCTTTGGCATTTTATATATCGCAGTATTAATCTTGACCAATATGTGTCATCTGAATTTTCATCACCAATCAACAGCTTGAGACAGCAAAAAATGTAACAAGACTCATACTGTTAATTTTCTAGAAATATTGCATTATCATCAGAAAGGGTTTTTCTGGACAGTTTCACAACTAGGCTGCACAATTTTTGTCTTGTTTTGCAGATTATATAGGGCTTACCAGAAACTTTTTTCATCCATGCACGATCAAGGAAATGGACCTCATAAAACTCAGTTTAGAAGGGATGAAAATTATGGTATATGTTTCTCAATAGCCTAGTGCTTTGTTTTGGTGATTTTAAATGTTCTTTTGTTTTTTAGAATGATAGCGTTCAGCTAGAATTCCTGGTAGACCTAGTTATTTACATTGTTACATGATAAATGAATGATTAATTTGATAACACTTTCTTCACGCGAAACGGTCACTAACATGTTTCAAGCTGTTGGAAGCTCCTAGATTGACCCTGTTTTGGCATAGCACTTTTACATAATATATGGCAATGAATAGTTTTGCTTAGGGAGACTCCACTACTCAATAATTTTGTTTAGTATTTGAAGAGCTGCACAACCAGAACCATAAGCCTCATTCCAGGATAGAAAACAGCATATAGTAACACCAACATGACATGATTCCCATCTTTCTAAATTGGCAGTGATGGTCTCTGTTGACAAAATGATTTCTTGATCAAAAGGCGAACTTTCTAATGAAAAGTTCCATCCTTAGTTTGATGGAATTTTTTTCCCCTTTTTCATGTTCAAGGAAGGGATTTTAGCAAATGGATTTTGTGGTTACATGCTGTGGTGGTTTGGGTTGGGTAAAATCCATTGGTCTTCATTTTGAAAAATTGCTTCAGTCAGAGAGGTCGCAGTGGTGGTAACTATATCCAGTTTATGGTAGTTTGAGGTTGACAATATGTGGGCATTGAGGTGGCGGTAATGGTGACTCCATATTTTTGTTAGGACGAGTGACATCAAGTGAAGTAGCTATGGCTGTAATGAGAGAAAAAGGCTGAGGGAAGATAGAAATACAATCATGTTACCAATGACTCCATATTTTTGGTTAGGACGAGTGATGTCAAGTGAAACAGCTATGGCTGTAATGAGAGAGAAAGCCTGAGGGAAGAGAAATAAAATGTTTATTGCACGGGGTTTTGAGAGACAAATGATTTTATAATGGACTATAGTGTCTTTAATAAAGGATAGATCCCAAAATTTTAGAAAAGGGTGTGTTACTTGTTGGCAATCCAAACAGGAAATGTGACTAAAGGGTTCGATCATGGACAAGCATAATTTTTCTTTTTTAATTGAATTTTCGTCCCTTTTTTTTTTTTGTTGATAACTGTTTGCAGTGGTTTAGTTTGTCAAATTTGATAATTTATTTTGTAACTCCTGGTTGTGAAGTTTCTAACCAATCCATTGACATTACAGTTCTACTCTGCTGGGTCACAGAAGAATTTGAGCTATATGCAGCGTTTGACCCCCTTGCAGAAAAGGTATGATAATATCACACTACGAACTTCGGTGGACTGGGTTTGAAATTGCAGTTCTCTTTCCAGGGATGTTTTTGATAGTCAGATTATATATCTAGAATTAAATCGGACAAATCCTGATGCATTTTGATATGTCTAGATTAAAAAATATGATTCGTACCATCTTAGCTTGTACATTTAGCTATATGGGTCCAACAACTATATTTTTTCAATTATGGTGCATAATAGCTTATCTTACTGCAGCAGCAGAAACTTTTACAACTTCGAAACGTTATTTCGCCCTACCTTACCTCTAGATTTGTATTTAGAGAAAAATTTATCGCATCTTTTGCCTTCAAGCCATGGCTTATCATGTGCTGTTTATTTGAGACCCTGGGAGCATTGTGTATTTAAAAAAGAATTAACCGATAAGTGAGCTGGTAGTGTTTTGACTAATTTGTCATAGCTAGGTAATGGATGAGAATTGATAGTCGGTCATCTGAAGGTTTAGTTGTATCTTCTGTTCAAATATGAATTTCTAGATCAAGTAAATTTTCTAAAACATAGAGCTCATTTGGAAGAATTGGAAGTAGGGCTGGGCATGGGTCACGTCCGTTGTTTGTCCGTTGTTTATCCAACCCAACATAGTATGTTTGAACTAAAATCAAACAAATCCAACCCAACCCAACCCACTCAAACTAAACTAATCAAGCTTGGGTTGGCAAGCCCAATTCAAGTTGAATTTGATTATTTTTTGTTAAATTTGGACTACTTTTAAAAGTTTAAAATCACTCGAAAATCTTTGTTATTTTTAACTTATGCTAGAGATTCTATCTGAAAAATAATATATAAATAAGTTTGAAACCATGTAGCATTTTCTTTTTACAGTTTTTTTGGGATTTATTTATTTCATTATCACGTCATTAATTTTTAGTTTATCGTCAAATTATTTTGCATTTGTACATACTATTCATGCCCGTCAGCCTATCAGCCTATGTAAAAAAAGGGACTTTTGTACATTCTATAAGTCCTCTTTATCTTTACTATTGTGTCTATTTAGGTTTTTCCATTTTAAGTATTAATTTTTTAATTCATTGGGTTGGTTTGATTCGTCAACCAAATTCAATTCAATTGAATCGATTTTTTGCACGGTCCTAATGGGAATGTAGAAAGCACATTAGCTCTGCTCTTTTGAAATTTTGATAATATTGCCTGAAATAGATTGTTATACGAGCTCATAGCATTCAAGTCAGGCGTTATTTTCTTCTTATTTTCACCCGTCAGCCCAGGGAGCAAAGATTAAAAATGTTGAAAGGAGAATATTTGGTTCAACTCAGATTTTTTCTTTTCGTTGTTTCAATTCTGCTGCCGATGAAGGAAGGGTAGAAAATAATGTGATAGGAGAAGATTGTCTCTGAACTTGGAATTCTCGTGCAACTTATACACAAAACTATCAAGCGTTATATCTTAAGTGAACTTGTAAAGGCAGAACGATCCAGAAAGTGGTTATTTTAGTTAAATACATTATTGTCATTCCGACTTATGATAAATTGCACTGCACCTTGCAGGGTTTGGCAATAAAGACATGTAATCGAATTTGTCGATGGGTGAAAGCTGTGGAAAATGACATTTTCTTGTTTGGAGGAAGCCCCTTTTCATGGTGATTCTTCCAAATACTCCCAACTCTTTTATTTGTATGAATAGATAAGATATACTCATTTCCCTTTAATAAAAACATGGCCTAAGTTTTTGATAGGCTCCAGTTTTTGTGTAGTCTCATAGATGTACACACCAATATTGGTATCACCTGTTGTAACTTTAATTTTCAGATCAGTTTTATGAGAGTTCTTCTATCAGTTTAAGACTTATTCAAAATTTCCTATTGAAATCTGGTGGGGGTAATTTGGGGAATTGGTGAGTCAAAGCAGAGATGATTAAAGTTGTTCCCCACTATGACAGTAAGATTGACTATTAAAAACCGCGTAAATAATCACACTAATGCTAAAGATACACATATTAATGAATGATTTCGTCATTATGAATCATGTAGTGGACACAAAAGAATGTTATGCAGTAAATATTGAAAATTTACCCTACTATGGTTCACACCAAGACATAATTTAGTGCAGTAAACTATGTCATCATATTTATAATTACAGTTGTGACTTAGTTGTAGTGATTTATTGCCAAAGTTGATACATAAACTGTTGGCCGAAAAAAGTATTAGAAGACATGAAGAGTAAAATCAATAGGTGCCTCCATTAAAGTTTATATCAATAGTAAAATCAGAAAGAAGAGAGACAAATTGCTAATAAGGTGGTGTTCAATACTTCAATGTAAAGGAAGCTACTAAGGTAAGCCTAGCGCGACTCTTGAGTTTCTATTGGGACGACCAGTATAAAAATATTACGTTCACGGTGGTTTGGGGAAAAAAAATTATAGTAGGTTTTAATAAAAGTTGGTGAAATATGTGATTATACAAGTTATGAATGTCATAAAATGTATCGTAAAAAATGAGTTTGTAGAAAAATGAACTTTAAAAAATAGGGGTTAAAAGCCTAACATATTACGGTCGAATAATTTTAATAAAATAAAATAAAATAACGACAACTAAGGGTCGTGACATATTACGAACGGTTACCTAAATTGTTCATAATTTTTTCTTTATGATTTGTCATCGAGTGAAATGAGTCATTGATCCCCTCGCAAAAGTTGAATGTCACTTCCACTAGACTAGACTAGACTCAAAAAATAATTAAATTTTTTTCTTTTTCTTTTGTATCCAAATAACAAAAGAACAAGAAACTATTTTGAATTTTTCTTCTTTGTATCTAAATCAAGATGGGATTGACTCGACTCGACTTCGCTCTCCTATATTTCCTCTTTTAATTTTCTTTCTCTCGGACTAAAGACCCTCAGATTCTTCATTCACACTGAGCTATATGAACTTTTTATTTTTAATTGATATATCTTATCACTGTTAATCTTTAAATAAAATAATCTACGTAGTAAAATTTTGAAAATGAAGGAGAAGAGAGAGAGTATAGATTACAGGATACAAAGAATCTCATTCATTTCCATGCACATTAACGTCCGGTAGAGTTGACTCCCCATTTCATAATCATTATTAAAACCCACCATAAAGAAAAAGTTCCCCCACTACCCACCTCCACCATTGCCTCCGCAACAAATCTCTTCTTTCTCCGTCTAGCAATATCACCATTTCTTACTCCGACCCGGATCCGCTCCAACTTCGCAGAAGGAATCATATAAAGAAAAAGGGGGTGAGATGTATAAGAACCAGCTGCAGGAGCTGGCGCAGAGAAGCTGCTTCAACCTGCCATCGTATACGTGCATAAGGGAGGGTCCGGACCACGCGCCGCGATTCAAGGCCATCGTTAACTTCAACGGAGAGGCCTTTGAGAGTCCCAACTACTGCTCCACCCTCCGCCAGGCCGAGCACTCCGCCGCCGAGGCAGCGCTAAACTCCCTCTCCTCCAGCGGTCCCTCCCACTCACTCGCCGCCCGCATTCTCGTACGTTTCATCTCTTCGTTTATTTTCATTTCTGGGTTAGTAAAAAATGGACGTGATTCAATTTTCCCATTTCTGCTAATGTGCGCCTTCCCGGTATTAGATTTAAATGCATTTTCATTTCTTGCTCACGTTGTTGCCTTGGAAAAACCGGGTCCGCTAACGTGCGCCGTACTCTTCACGGGGAATGCTAACTTGCGCCTATCCGTGTCGATGAGTACGGTCCGTTTATTAACTCACCGGTCAAGCTGGTGGCCTTTGTCTCTTATGTTGTGAAATTACTAACAAGTCCATTCCCTGTTTCTGGGGGTGTAGTTAATGATATTAATACAGTCAATTCAATAAAGGAAGACTTGGTGAAGTTTCAATGAACCAATGTGAGAGGGACCATAATTAATTAATCTTTACCTTTCATTAACAGCTGTTTATTGCTGTTGCTTCATCATTTGGATTAATGGGAATGGGGTGTTTTAGTACATTTCACAACGAAGATCCAAATCTTGAACACGGGAAAATACTTCGAGGGGCATTTTGTCATTTCATCGATTGAGAATAATTATGATTAAATGTAGGTTGGACCGTTCAAAGTTTGGCATACAAAGAGTAGATAGAAATTTGGGATTTTGTAATATTGAAGTGATAGATGATGAAGACCTCATTAGGTGAATTTAGCTGACTAATGATTAATTTACACTTATAATTATAAATAAATGTGTTGAAATAAGTATCAATACGTTGAAAATGCAGAGAGTGTGTACCTAATTATCATTATGTAAGTGAAATTCGGAGTTTGGCACGTGTGGGGGAAGTGTTTTCAGATTGTACAAATTGATTATAATTGGTTTTCTGATTTTTTGTTTTTTTTTTTGTTTTTTATGGTTTATGATAGAGATGGACAATTGAAATTGTTGACTTTGGTACTAATTTTTAATGCTATTTTAGAGATGAAGTTATGTATGAAAAGAGTTAAGATTTTGAATGGAGATGTTGGGTAATTTTCCTCATGCACATGTGGGAAATGAATTTGGAATTTTGTACAATTTATTGCCATGTCTCCCTCAATTTAATGTGCTTCTTTAAAGCAAGGTGCAAAATCCATGTGCCTGTCCACTTCTCTAAACCAACCATTATGATAATTCCAAGCAAGAAACTTAAGACGTGTTTGTTATACGGTATTGGACGATACTGCACTGTACATACAATGAACAGGTAATGTGCAAAATGTGTCATGAAGTTAAAAACGGGTTATCTTCGCAATGTAGTCCATTCATAGTGAAGCTAGTAGATAATGTTGAACGACCTTATTTAAAATTGAAGTTATCAGCGTGACATATTGACTAATTTGTCATTTTCGTGGGTTTAGGATGAAACGGGAGTTTATAAAAACCTCTTACAGGAGATTGCACAAAGAGTTGGATCTCCTTTGCCTCAGTACACAACTTATAAATCCGGTTCAGGACACCTACCTGTCTTTACAGGAACAGTTCTACTGGCTGGAATCACATTTACAGGAGAACCTGCAAAGAACAAGAAGCAAGCTGAGAAGAACGCCGCACTCGCTGCTTGGTTATCATTGAAACAATGTGAGTCCATTCTTAACTTTTTCCACCCAACTACTGGAGTATCTTATGCATATTCTTTGGAGTATTGGATAGGAGTCAACAATATAATGAACATGGTTTTAAAAACTTTGACAAGTAGATTTATGTGGCATTTCTCATTGTTAATTAGCTGCTTTTGGGGGTTTGATCGTCGTTTTCACCCAACTTAGTCAATGGAATGCCACCATTTCTCATTCCTAAACTTTAATATCACCTTCCACGCCTGTGTCTCTCTTGAATAATTAGTTTATTTCTTCCTGCATTTCTAATATAAACCCATTTCTTTATTAATAAATGAAAACAATTCAGAGCGTGAATACATCAAAAAAACCTTTCTTAGTGCATCGTGATGCTTTCCTTTTCAATCCATTGAATGCCGTCTCTGTTCTTATTCTTGTTTGAAGTTTGAGAATTTTACTAGTAAGCTTTATTTTTACTTGTCAGTGGCACAGCAAGATGCTAATTCTTCAGCAGAGCAAGAAAATAACGATGAGCAGGAGCAGATAAGAATAGCAAGGGCCTTACTGAACTATCGTGCAAAGGAAAAAATGGAAATGGCTNAAACAGACATTCGTTTATCGCAAACGATAGTCATATTCCATTGTCACACCAGCTACCATTATCGCAGCCCCCCTCTCCAGAAGTTCAGACAGTACACACTCCTAGGTTCCCTGATGTTGGGGCAGCACCTTACCTCCCTGTTAGACAATGTAGGGCACCTTATCAAGGGATTGCTCCAGCGGTTACTATAAGAAATTCGGTGCCAGTCTTCTCTGCACCACCACGTCCACCACCTTCACATCCGATTCAGCGCCAACCTATTCGAGTATCCCCACCCGTTTGTGTCAGGCAGGTAGTTCCTGTTTTTGCTGCTGCGTCTGTGCATAAAGAAATCCCACCACCACCTCCGACAACTTGTGCACCTCCAAATAAAAGGCCACTTGAGGCTGAGGAAACTGTGAAGAATTGCACGGATGGTGTTGATGAATCTACTGCAGTGAAGTGCTTGGAACAACTCAAGATATGATATTCTCTCCAGAAATCTCGTGTTACATTTTTGTGTTATGTTGGCATGCTTTCTATTGTCCTACTACTCAAATATACTAGTGTCCGTCTCCCTCTGTTGCCTCATTTGTCTGTATGCATCTTCTTTGTGCTTAGAATTGTTGCAGGTGAACTCTTTTTTCTCTACCATAATATTTTGTGGATTTAATGCAGATGAACTGAGGTATCAAATAGATTATGAATATCACCACCCTTATTCTTCATTCAATTCATATTTCCTAGGTAGAAAAATAGTAGATAAAACCTTGTCTTTCTTATTCATTCGATTATTCTTAAATTACAACCAACCATACAAGCACCAAAACGTTATCTTTCGCTTGGCTTTTTCAAGAATATTTATTATATTGATATTTAAGAAGTCTCTCGGGAGCAGTCACTACCCCAATATTATCCCAGCAGATTGCATATATGATTGAACTCCCTCAAGATTCAATAGCAATTTCTCAAGACAATGATCTCTTCGCAAGCTACTATGTCCTTGAATCTATTGACCTCCAAAAAGCATCAACAAATTCAAGCCAGTCAAAATAACTGTATGAAATATTTCAAGTTTCGAAGTGACTCTGAATTGATTATACATCTTTAGTTGATTTTGCCCCAGTTAAAAATAAGAAAAAAAATTGAATTTACGTGTATTATTATTTTATTGAAGAATGTGTGGTAGAAAATAAGATAGAAAAAAATGTATTTGAAAATAATGGGACCAAACAAGGGCATAATGAATTTTTGGGAATAACGTATTTTAGAATAATGATTTTTTTTGAAGATTTTGTGGTTTAAAAAAAAAA